ACTGTGGAGCAGACAAAGGAGGACTCCTGTGGCCGGAGCACTCTGTGCCCTTGTTCCCAAGGCAGTAGCTCCTTCCCAGGTGCCTCGTGGAAACTGTGGAAATGAGGATCTGAAAATCTGCTCACGATGGGGTCCATCTGGGAGGGCCAGGAGTCGGTAAGAGTCTGCAGCGCATGAGCCTAACTTCCCTACCAGCAGCTGAGCCCTAGCATTTGTCCTAAGGTGGCTCTAGGAGAGATAGAAACATTGTCCTTCCTGGAAGAGTTAAAGGTGGGTGGCAGCTGGAATAAGAAGGCCCAACACTGGTTGGAAAGAAAGTACCAAGACAAGATGGGTGTGCTGGCTAGTTTTATGTCAACTTGACACAAGCTAGAGTTAACTGAAATGAGGAAACTTCAGTTGAGAAAATGCCTGCATGAGATCTGTCTGTAAGACATTTTATTAATTAGTGATAGATGTGGGAGGGCTCAGTCCATGGTGGGTTGGTGCCATCCCTGGGCTGCTGGTCCTGGGTTCTATAAGAAAGCAGACTGAGCAGGCCATGAGGAGCAAGCCAGTAAGCAGCACTCCTCCATGGCCTGCGCATCAGCTCCTGCCTCCGGGTCCCTGCCCTGCTTGAGTTCCTGTCCTGACTTCTTGAGTTCCTGTCTTGACTTCCTTCAGTGATGGACTACAATATGGAAGTGGAAGCCAAATAAACCCTTTCCTCTCCAGCTCGCTTGTTTTATCTAAGCAACAGTAACCCTAGCTAAGACAAGACAAATCTAATGTGGGGACATCCTAACTGGGTGCTTTGGCTTCAATGAGCAGCTCCTTCCTCTTGTCATCCCCGCTGCCTGGCAATCAGGTTTCCAAAGTGTGTGAATTTGTCCCTTCCTTCCACCCTGTGGATCCCAGGGTTCAAACTCAGGTCCTTGGTCTTGGGGGCAAGTGCCTTTACCCACTGAACCAGCTTACCAGCACCCCGATTTTCATGGTCAATTATCTGGGGTAGTCATCCTAGCAAGAGAGCTGCTCTCAAGACATGCTTCTGGCCGTTACTTCAGCCATCACAGTGTGGAGACAATGGTCTCTGAGAAACTGGCTGTCCCAAAGGAGTCTCACACTCGGAGAAGGACGTGGCCTGAAACCAATGACAGCCAGAGCGGGAGCTGTCACAACTTCTGACAGCCTGCCGGACCACCTGCAGGAGAGACTGGAGCTGAGGTGATGGAGGGTCAACGACGGGAGGACCACACCTTCACCAGAGCTGCTCAGCTCTCCATTGAAACTTAAACTTCCCGTCTGTTCCCTGAAGATGGACCTCACCATTTTGTTCTCCTTCCCACAGTGAAGAAGTCTCTTTCCCTGGCTTTTCACCACCACTTGTCTCTTTGGTTGGCATATTGAGGGCGGTGGTCGAGTCGGGCTTGTTAGAGAGGCCAGAAGAACACAGGCTGTGCCACTGACTGCTCTGAGAACACAGGCAGACACCTGGTTCTGCAGCTGGTGGCCAAGAGAGCATGTTTCAAGACTGGGCCCGTCTTCCTGTCTTTTGGCTGTAATAGTCTCATAAACCCTTTTATTTCAAAGAACTCTCCGGCTTTAGAGCTTTCCTTTAACATGGCAGGGTCTGGTCCTGTCCCACTGGCTTCATGTAACTCCCCTCAAATCCTGTGCACTCTGTGGTCACTTCCTTCTTCTGTGATAAGACACCCTGAGGAAAGTTATATAAGGAAGAGTTTAATGGGGCCTACATGGAGGGCAAGTCCACGTCCATCATGGCAGGGAGCATGGCGGCAGGCAGTCAGGCCTGGCTCTGAACAGTAGCCGAGAGCTTACATCTTGAGGCAGAGAGAAAGAGCTAACTGGGAATGGCATGGGCTTTTGACAACACAAACCCCACCCCCACTGACGCACCTCCTCCAACAGGCCACTCCTCCTAATTCTCCCTCAGTAATTCCAACTAGGGGACCCCACATTCAAATGCAGAAGCCTGTGAGGCCTTTCTTTTTAGGCCACCACAGCACACCTGCATGTAATGGGCCTGGCACGTCAGAAGACAGCGCTTTAACAATGATCTAGAACCGTTGAGGACATTTCGCTAGAAAGCCCTTCAGCTCACAGCCCCAACATGTGACGGGGCAGGAGTGGGGCCTGGCACACCCAAAGGTTTGGATGAATGTGTGTGTCATGCAGAGGTCGGAGCTTTCCTAGTTTGCTCATTATCTGGTTAATTTGCTACAGGATACCAAACAAGCTTTCTCACCTCATGAACCATCGCCGGGAAAACTGGCCCCCCAGGAGGTGGGCACTGCCCAAGGAAACATCTATCTGAGGTATGTTATATGTTTGTCATGGAGTAGAGTGGATGGGGATACATCTGCTAAAGACTCCCACCACCCCAGGCCATTTCTGGGAGGCCTGGAGGGCTGACCGGGAAAGGAGGTCAGGCATGTGAGGCCTAGTTCTTTCTGCTGGTGTCTGACCTCTGAGTACCTTGCTGTCTGTCTCTCGCTCACTACCATTGCTGAGGCCTGGCAAGAGAGGGAAGCAGAGGCTCAGTGATGAAATGAACCCTGTCCACAAGCGTGTGCAATGTATGTGTGGTGAGCACTGGCACGCCTCCCTGGCTGGCCCTCTCTGCAAGCTGGCAGGAAAATCTGTCCCGCAAAACTCCGTTCAAGAAGCCATGAAATCACTCCTGGCTATTCTCTGCTGCTCCTCTGATCACCACTAGAGGGCAGAAGTCAACAACGCCAACTAAGGGATTTTTGCCATCAGGGCGACTCAACACCCTCAGCTTTCCTAAGACGATCTAGTGGACAGGCAGGGCGGACTACTGACACCACAGCTCCACGTTAATGTCCCTCGTCTTCGATCCAGGGGATGTGTGAGTCTGAGAATGTTGGAAGGCGAGTTGTTAAAAGTACAGTGTAGGGGAACGGAGGTGGCCAAGGAAGGAACTGTGAGTTCTCAGTGTCCCTGCCAGATAAAGCTAAAGAAGAAAGAGGAAGCCTGGAGCTGAGGCAGGAGCTGGACAGGAGCCAGGCTGCCCACATTCAAACCCTGGCTCCTCTAGCTGTGTGGATTTGGATGGGAGCGCCGTCTGTGAGACAGCGATGGTGCCGTCTCCTGCGCTAGATGCTGCCTGGGGCAGCTCATCTGAGTTACTTAAGGCCGTGTCTGGCACAGAGTGAGAGCGTGGGAATTGCCGGAATTTAGTGTCTTCTGACCTTGGGATCAGGCAAAAAGCTAAAGAAACTATTCAGCAGTGATTCCCAAGGAGGAGACCTGTGTGCAGCTAGTGATCTTACTCTCCTCCCACCACACATTCAGTCACAGATGTGTGACGAGTGAAGCTGAAAGGGGCCTTGCTCCCTGGGAAGGCAAACAAATGCCGAGTAGCTCTGCACGTGACTAAGTCAGCCTCTCAAACGGAGATTTGGGTTTGGCCCTCCTCACCGGGACTCCTGCTCCGCTTGGCCTCCAGGGCTCCAGAGCTCCGGGGTGTGGAGTTGGACTGGATGGGCAGAAGAAGAGACTGGCTTTCATTTCTTCCTGTTTGCCTTTCTTGCTGTGAGAGAAAATTCAGGTCTCCAGCCCCAACTGCCCAGGCAGTTAGGGCTCTAGAGAGGGGCAAGTGGCAGCGCCCAGCTGGTGCACCAGGTCTAGCAGCACAGTGAAATGCAGGAGCACCGGCTGTCGGGGGCCTTGGGCTCCTCTATCTCTAGTTCTAAAGAGACATCAGGGGACACCTTTATATTTCCTCCCGCCATGAAGCATTTTTACTCACTTACATTATCTTATTTTATTTTTATTGTTTGTTTTGAGACAGGGTCTCACTGTGTAGCCCTGGCTACTCTGGAACTTTTTTGTCACAATACACGGGCCTCAAAGTCACAGAGATGCGCCTGCCTCTGTCTCCTACGTACTGGGACTAACAGCATGCCCCACCATGTGTGGCCAATTTGCTTTAAATTATGTGCTCGTGCGTCTGTCTGTGTAGGGTATGTGCACTCAACAGGTGTCCAGTGAGGCCAGAGGCATCGCCTGCACCTGGACCTGGGTTTACAGGTGGTTGTGATACCTCACATGTGTGCTGGGAACTGAACTTGGGTCTCCTGCAAGAGTATATGCTCTTAGCCACTGGACCATCTCGTGCCCTGTTCCTTTCTGGCTTTGTTTATGAATGTGCACTTACTTTATGAATCAGGAAAGGATTCTGTGTGTGATATGGTGGCACACGCCCATGATTCCAGCACTCAGTCGTAGAGGCAAGAGGATCAGGAGCACAAGGTCATTTTAGGCTACATAGTTGCAAGGCCAGCCTGGAACACGTAAGACTGTTTCAAAAAAGAAAAAAAGCTGGGCATGGTGGCTCTACCCCTTTAATCCCAGGACTTGGTAGACAGAGGCATGCTGATCTCTGTGAGGCTGAGGTTAACCTGATCTATAGAGCAGGTTCCAGGACTTCATAGAGACCCTGTTTCGAAAAAAAAAGTTTTGCTTTGCCCTAGTATGGCAGCATACATCTAACTGAGAGCCCAGCCAGAGCTGTAAAGTCTGAGGTAGAGGCACCCCGGCATTCAGAGCTTGCTGTGTCGGCCACTAGGTGGTGCTCTCTCGGATGACTGCCTACCGGCAGTCAGTGCTTAGCGGTAGCCCTAGTCCCCACGCAAAGGTGCAGACTCGTATTGCAAAAGAACTCGGCCTAGAGAGAGAGTTAGGGCTGTTAAAGGCAGCCGGAATTCCGGACTGTGCGGCTTCCTAGTGTGTGACCTAAGATGCGGTAACCTCCCTCTCCCAGAAAAGTCGGATCCGTGGCGGTGCGTAGCAGGCTTGAGCCGGGCTTGGTCCCTGTTAACCTGCGCTCTCTGTGTGGGCGCTCGGTGCAGGGCGCAGCGCGAGCTCGATCCTCCGAGCCGGTTGGCGGCGCTCGCGGGCCTGGCGGGGCAGGGGGGCGTTGCGCACGGGCAGCGGCGCTCCGGCCGGCTCCTCTCGGCGTACGCGGGGCGGGGACAGCACGGCGGCGGCCGCTCGGTGTCGCGGGAGCCGGACCGCGCAGGCCCGTCCCGGCGGCCCGGGGGGCGCCATGTGGTTCATGTATGTGCTGAGCTGGCTGTCGCTGTTCGTCCAGGTCGCATTCATCACCCTGGCCGTCGGTGAGAGCGCTGACCCGGGCCGCGCACGCCCCAGTGCCCCGAGGCGCCAACCGCTGCTGCGCTTTGCAGCTAGGCGCGGGCGACCCGGAGCTGGCCCCACTGGACCTCGGCCGAACCTTCCGGAGGGGATACGAGGTCCCCGAGACGCATTCTTGCTCTCGGGACCCTGGGCTGCCCCCTCTGCCTGTCCCCTCCAGCTAGGGCAGGGGAAGGCCCCTGTCTGTCTCACCCGGCTGTGTGCTAGCGAACAACACCCGGCCTGTAAACTAAGTGTTCTGCAGCTGGCGATTGAGTGACTGAGTGGAGTTTAAGGTTCCCAGGGCAGAGGTTAACCTTAGGCTGTGCAGTCAAATCCAGTCTTTCTGCAGGTGTCCTGGCAAAGTTCTACTTGTGCAGATGAGAAGGGAATCCCAAGGGGTGCTTTGGCATGTTCCCGACTTCCTGGAGTCTGGGGAGGGTCGGTGGGAGCCAAGGGATGAGCAGGCTGGTGGGGGTGGTCCTGGCTGATCTCTTCCTGTTTGTCCCCTCCTGGGACACCCCATCCCCAAACACAGCGGCTGGACTGTACTACCTGGCAGAGCTGATAGAAGAGTATACGGTGGCAACCAGCAGAATCATTAAATACATGATTTGGGTAAGTGACAGCTTTTCCCTGGGGTCACCCAAGGCTTGCTCGCCCTGCCTCAGAAGCAGGAAGTGGGGACCATTTGGTCTGGGACTGTTTTTGGTGCTGAGAACCAAGGCTCTGAGGGTGTGTCCTCTTTCCTCCCTGCCCTGCACTCTGCCTTTAGGTGCTCTCTGCACTCCTGTGTCCAGATCACTCCTGGCACTCCAGCCTCATGTTTCCCAAGCTATTGCCATTCCTTAAGGTGACAGTGAAATATTTCAGTGACAGGTACTCATGGCTTTGCTTTCCATGTGGTTATCTCCCACTGTGTTCACTGTCTCCAGCCCCAGATCCCCAACCCCAGTTCAGGCTTAGAACTTAGAGGGACATTAAGGACAGTTTTTAGTACTTATTTGTTGCTCTTTCTAATCAGCATGATTTGTCCTAAGGGAGCATGCCTGGTCCTTTCTCTTGCCTCAAGGGAAGACTTGGTCCCTGCCCTGCCGCTGCTAGCGAGGCTGTGAAAAGGTTTTCTCTGGCAGCTGTGAGGAAGGCTGAGGTTGCTATGGCAAGTCTTTGGATAGGAAAGTTTACCTTTCACTCACCTGCTGTCTGCAGCAACTTTCATTGCGAGCATAGCCTGGGGTTGCAGTTTGTGGTGAAGGCAAGGCATTGGCCCAGTCTGGGGTGTGGCTGGTATGGCAGTTAGTCCTTTCGTCACTGACAACTCAAGCCTTTCTCAGACTGCCGTCTTGATTCATTACTGAGTTATGAAATTGATTCAGGAGATCATGCTTAGCACTCAAGGAAAATAGGGAACGGGGTGGAGGGAGTGGGCATGCATGTGGTCTTTGGTTAGCTCCCCAGCTCTAAGAACCGTAACAACGGTGAAGGCTAGAACAGAGCAGTTGAGAGTGAGCTCCGTCACCATGTGGATGTGTGTTTGGTGGGATACTGTGTAAAATGTTTTTTCTTACTTTGTATCACTGCCAAAAATCTTAGAGGTGACCTTCAAAGATGCCACCTTTGAGAGCTGAGTGTGGCCACGGAGGTGACTGTGAACCAAGAAACCCAAAGCGTATTTGTAGCACTGGCCAGGGCAGGCAGGGGCGGGCAGAGTAGGTGGCCTGAAGGTTCCCTGCATCCAGCGCCTGTGCCTATTTCAGTTCTCCACAGCTGTGCTGATCGGCCTCTACGTCTTTGAGCACTTCCCCACCAGCATGATTGGCGTGGGCCTTTTCACCAACCTCGTCTACTTTGGCCTTCTCCAGACCTTCCCTTTCATCATGCTGACATCACCTAACTTCATCCTGTCATGCGGTGAGAGGGGACAGCAGGGAGGACTTTATGTGATGGATGTGGGCACTCTGTTCCAGGCACTGACAGGGACCCAGGCTGCTCGGGGAAAATGACTTCTCATTCCTCATGACGCCAGGGCCTGTCTCAGCCCTCATCAGGGGAGGGGCTCCAGCTAGGAGGACCTTGCCAAAGAGACAAGTTAGGAGGAGGACTTGGGAAAGAAAGAAGGCACATTCCAAGGCTGAGTGATTCTCACCTTTAAGAACCACTTGGTCTCTTTGAAAAGCATGGGACCAACTTGGCAGGTAGACATCTCCTCTCCCAAAGTCACAGAGACAACAACTTGGAGCTGACATCCATGGAAGTTTGCACTGCCTCATGCTTGGGTCCTGCCTTCATGCCTTGGCCTCATTACTACTTCCTGTCCCTGGAAAGTAATTTTCCATCCGTGAGCTACTCTGCTAGACCCAGTTGGTTTATGCAGTGGTCACGGCTGTGCACAAATGTTCATGAGAAAGGTTCTAGAAAGTGCTTGGTCACAGGCACTGCTGTTTCTCCTAGAGCAAGATGGCGTGTGGTGTGGAGTAGGCTTTAGAGTTAGGTTTCTGTGTCTGGGGAGCTCAGTATTATCCATAGAAGGGCAGATTGTTAGAGCTGAGGCATCTTCTCTCAATGCTAGGTGTGATTTGTATCTCAGAATTTGTTCAGCAGAGTTTGTTCAGCACCAGGCTCCTTGTGTGTCTCCCAGAGAGCAGCTCTGGCCCCCAGAAGGCTCCTCTGACTCCTTATGTCACTCCCTTGGCCTGCCCTTTGGATTCCTGGGAGAGTTTTCTGAGGGACCTTGTGAGCACAAGGTGCCTCCTATGCCTTAGTGTCCCTTAGCTTCGCTGTGTGGTAAAGCACAGTGCTGTCTTCATGGTAAAGGGCAGAAACGAGACATGTAGTTGTAGCTGTGGGGGACGTGGTCTTTCTGGTGCCTGCCTTTCACCGTGCCGTGGAAGCAGGTAGAGTTTGTGCCTCCCAGTAGCTATCCCCTTATGTTTGCTTTCCCATGACCGTGTGCACACTAGGAGTGCACGGAGCCAGAGCATATCAGTATAGGTTGTTGTGTCTTGCCCCGTTCTAGATTTCCAGTAAACCCTGACAGTACCCCCTCTCTGAGGAAAACTTTATTATTTTTTTAATTTATTACAATTTATTCACTTTGTATCCCAACTGTAGCCCCTCCTCCCTCTTCTCCTCCCATGCCCCTTGCCCAGTCCACTGATAGGGGCGGTCCTCCTCCCCTTCCACCTGACCCTAGTTTATCAGCTGTCATCAGGACTGGCAGCATTTCTTCCTCTGTGGCCTGGTAAGGCTGCCCCCCCAACCCCAGGGGGAGGTGATCAAACAGCCAGCCACTGAGTTCATGTCAGAGACAGTCCCTGTTCCCCTACTAGGGAGCCCATCTGGACACTGAGCTGCCATGGGCTACATCTGTGCAGGGGTTCTAGGTTATCTCCATGAATGGTCCTTTGGAGTATCAGTCTCAGAAAAGACCCCTGGGCCCAGATTTTTTGGTTCTGTTGCTCTCCTTGTGGAGCTCCTGTCTCTTCCAGGTCTTTCTATCTCCAAATATACAACAAGGGCATTTGCTCAACTGTGTTTGTAGAAGCTTTATTCTTAATAGCCAGAATCTGGAAACAACCCAGATGTCCCTCAGTGGAGGAATGGATACAGAAATTGTAGTACATTTACACAGTGGAATACTACTCAGCAATTAAAAACAAGGAAATCATGAAATTTGCAGGCAAATGGTGGGATCTAGAAAAGATCATCCTGAGTGAGGTATCCCAGAAGCAGAGAGACATACACGATATATACTCACTTATAAGTGGATGTTAGACATATAATACAGGATAAGCATACTAAAATCTGTACACCTAAAGAAGTTAAGCAAGGACGACGACACTGGGTAAGATGATCAATCCTCACTCAGAAACGCAAACGGGACAGACATTGATTGGAAGAGAGAGAAAACGAGGAGCAGAACAGGAGCCTACCCCAGAGGCCCTCTGTAAGACTTTACCCAGCAGGGTATCAAAGCAGATGCTGAGACTTATAGCCAAACTTTGGGCAGAGTGCAGAGATCTTATGAAAGAAGGGGGAGCTAGAAGACAACTCTGGCCTGCTGTGCAGTGTGGAGCGGAGTCTGCTGGGCTGTGTGTTCTGCCTGCCCATGACCTTTCCTCATCTGCTGCCCTGGGAGAGCAGTGGTGTGATCATGAATTATGTAACACATACACGCACACTGACACAAACCTGCTTTCATAACATGCCAGTTATAAAAGTGTTCCAGTCTACCTTCTGATTCTATCCCTGCTGCCTTCCGCAGTTGGAAGGTTGGGGCTGAGCACCTGATCTTAACAGGTAGGGACTGAGTTTTAGACAGTGCACTTGGCCCAGAGCTGTGCTTTGAGTTGGTGTAGGGTCAAGACTGAGACCTGGGGCTCCAGTTTTGGGGCCTTCTGGGTTTGGCAAGCACACAGTGACCAGACTCTCCATCCCCACAGGGCTAGTGGTGGTGAACCATTACCTGGCATTTCAGTTTTTTGCGGAAGAATATTATCCCTTCTCTGAGGTAAGATGTCTAGCACATATTTGTAGTAGCGGGAACGGGCGAGGAAAGGGACTGAGAGGATCTATTTTGTGAGTGTAGCTGTGATCCCAAACTGGCTCCGTTCAGGAACCATGTTCTTCATAAAGAAAAGATGTAATGATGGTTTGGAAGGCAGGGTATCTGAGGAACAGAAGGGCTCCCTGTGGCTGGGTTGGGAGGACACTGCTCTCCCTCATTGAGTCCTTTGGGCGCCCCAGTAGGCTCATCCTCAAGTCCAGAAGGGCCACCAGGCTGGCCTGTGTGACCCAGTCTTCACAAGGCAGGATTGGGTAGCAACCTCCTAGCCCTAGCTCCATCAGCACCTGCCCAGGGTTCCTCCCACTTGAAGCCCCACAGAAGAACAGTGTCACTCAGTCACAGCTGTACTTCCCCTCCCCCAACGGTCTCAGTGTCGGTTTCTGCTTCCTGGGTGCCAGCTCCTGCAGGGGTAGGGTGGGTCTTTGCGGGCACCCCTGGGGCTCTCCCTCCTCAGTCTCTCCTGTCACCAGGTCCTGGCCTACTTCACATTCTGCCTGTGGATAATCCCGTTCGCTTTCTTCGTGTCGCTTTCGGCTGGGGAGAATGTCCTGCCCTCTACCATGCAGCCAGGCGGTGAGGAAGGACTTCTTACATCAAGTGGGGGGACCGGCGCCAGCCCTCAGAGAACGCTTCGGGGCTCTGGGTGATGAGAGCTGCACACACACACACATGCATGCACACGCACACTCATCTCCCTGCCTGTGTCTCCACAGATGACGTGGTCTCCAATTACTTCACCAAAGGCAAGCGAGGCAAGCGCTTAGGCATCCTGGTTGTCTTCTCCTTCATCAAAGAGGCCATCCTACCCAGTCGGCAGAAGATATACTGACTCTTTGGGGAGGGCATGTGGGGGGCAAGACCCGTAGAGCCAGGTCCCTGGGATTCTAGGCTACTAGTGCCTGGGAGCCTGGAGGGTGTCTTCTGCCATCCCGGGTCTCCCTCCCCTTTGTTCTGAAGCACCATCCCCCCCTCCTCAGGGAGCTTGAATCTGCCAGGGACACCAGAGAGGGTAGCAGAGCCTGCTGTGCCAGGAGGCTGTGTCTCCAGCCCTCCTCCCCAGAGTTGGGTCTGGTCAGATGGGGCAGACAGGGAGGGTCTATGAAGCTGGGACAGACAGCAGGTTCTCAGGCAAGTGACCATAGGGAAGAGCGAGGGTTGGCACTTGCAACAAAGTGCATTTTGCTGTCAAACTGCGGGTTTTGTCCAGTGCTGATTCCCCTTTGAATAAAGATGCTAGGTGGCACGGTTTGCCTTAACACCCACGGAGTTCTTCTCTGCCCTCTAACCTTCTGCCTAGACTGGGCTAGCCTGCTCTAGGGATTCCTCTTCTGGCACTTGCCCTTCTGAAAGGATTCTTGTGACCCTAAGTGGGAGGGGACAGAGGTGAGGAGGAGTGGGCAAAGGTAGTTTTTGTGAGGCTCCTCCCTCTTTCCATGTCTTCCTTCCCCAGACTTTGATAGTCCAGATGGGGGAAACAAACAGTTTATGGCTGGGCTAGAGCTGCAGAAGACAGTCTCCAATATCCTATTTATGCCTTCCTTTGAGAAAAAGGAGAGGTTTCTTGATGAATTCTCTCAGGCTCAACAACAAAATAATAAATAAACACTGGCTTCTAGGCAGCCTAGGCTGTGGCCTCTTTCTTGAGAAACGGGGTTGGGGAAGGCTGCCACGCAGAGCACACAGGCCTCGCACTCACGCACTTCCGGCCCCTGGAGGGATGCTAGCTCTGCCTTCTAAGAAGGTGGGCCCCACCCCGGGCACAGACCAGCGTCTGTTGGCCTTGCACTCCAACCACAGTGCCTTGCAAGGGCTCAACAGTACATGGCATGAAGGCCCCGCTGGCCGAATCCCTTCCCTCACAGTGAGTCTGCCAGGTGCACACATGGACCCGGCATTGACTCTTGCATTTCTATTGAGTCCTAGCCTGCCGTTCCATGAACTTTGTTTTGCAGCTACAGATAAGATCACCAGACCTATTTCTGCCAGTTGGGTGGGCGAAGGTATAGGGCATGAGGCTGCTGTCACCAGCGGGCTGAGGCTGACCCTACTTGCCTTGCTGTCTACTTTGTCTTTGTTCATCCTGCCTGCTGGTCAGTGCTTGGACAGGGCCTTTCCCAGGCTACCCCTCTGGAGTCATCACTTCCTGGGTCTTGGGGTAGCTTGACAGAGTTGATGGCCTGCTCCTTGATTCACTCTTTCCTGGCCCTTGTGTGGCTGGCTGTTTACCTCCCTGTCCTTTCAGTTTCTATATAGACTTCTTTCTTGATCTGTTTACACCAGGGGCTCTTTGGCTGTATTGTAGATTGCCTGAGGAAGCCCAGCTATGCTGGTGGCTTCGGGACGCTGTGGAGGAAGCCAGGGCCAACCTTCAGCCCTAGCTTCTTCCAAACTTAGCCACAGTTCTGCTGCCTTGTGGGCACAGACAATTTGAGCTGAAATCTCTGCTCTGTTCACCTGCTCTTTCTAGTGCTTGCCCTGGTCTTACGGTGGCTCAGGAGCCAGGCAGGACATTGCTTTCTCTTTCTGTCCCACATCCAATCTATTCTTAGCATCTGTTTGAGCCACTCCTACTGTCGTCTCTTTTACCTCTTTTGCTTTGGCAGTTTTCTGTGTTTCTTTAGCCTATGGCCAGCTGGAGTTTTGCTTTGTGTTCTAAAATACAGCTGGCCAAGTCTTTTTTGACCCCAAACTTTGCCTAGCTCCCCCCTGCCCTCGGGATAAAGACCAGACTTTTTGGCATAGTGTGTGAGGCTCCTGGTGTCCTGGTCCCTGACTTGTGCTCGGGGTCCCAGCCTCCTGCATGTAGAGACCAGGCTCTCTTTCTCTTGCTGCTTTGATACCCTTCCTTCTCACTTTGGTAGTTTGACGCTTTTCCACTTAGATTTTATTTCCTCCAAGGAGCCTTGAGTGTCTCCGTGCCTCCCCTAGCCCCAGCTGCCACACAGATCCCTCTAGGCTCACTGGCCTGTGGTGTGGTCTGCCTCTCCACTAGACTGGAAGCTCCTTGAGGGCAGGGAAAGCCCTTGGATTTTTGTATTATCAACTACCTGATTTTGGTGCCTGGCCCATGCAAAGCACTCAATAAATGTTTTGTTTAAAGAGCGAGCTGCAGTGTGTGATGGACAGACATCGGGGTCCGGGGCAGCTTCCTGGACAGGTCTCTAATCAAAGCTGCAGCACTCCCTCTCTTGGCAGAAGGTGCCGCCCAGCCTCCTGGAACTACAGCTTTACACGCCTCAGGGCGGCCGGGAGCACGGGGCAGAGAGGCCTGTGCTGGGTGTCCCGATAGCTGCTCCCCATTCCCAGTCAGGGTCTTCAGCAGACAGGAAGGAAAGGTAGCACAATTCCTAGGGATACCCTGGCCTAGAAGCCTTGTTCCTGGTGTGCTGCCCAAGGTAGAGCAGTGAGGACCAGAGGGTTGGTTACTTTTACACGACATAACTGCCCCTCTACTCAGAACCTTGTGCTGTGTTCCACATGTCTGCATCCCAGGGAGCCAGGCAATTTATCTATAGAGAAAAGGGAGGCCTAGTTTGTGTGTTTGCGGGAGGAGGAATAGTTAGGGGTGGCTCCTATCCTTGGGCTTGGGAATGGGAACCTCATAGGTACTCCCCCACCCCACCCCCAGTCCTTCCTACCACAGTCTTAACACGGAAGCCTTCAACTAGGAGATTTCCAAAATTACTTTATCTGAGAAATTCCTTGGCGAGTGGGACCACTGGAGTCCGGCAAGCTTCCAAGGTAGCCAGGAAGGGTTCATCAAATGTCTCACGAAGGCTCATGGCCATTTCTCGGGTACAGGTGTCTCCCAAATGCCGTTTCTGGGGCACTCTGAGGATATCAACTGGGCAAAAGCCCTGGGGCACTTTCATCCTGTAGGATTTAAGCCCTGGGTACAGTGTTTGGACCATCACCTCAAAAGGCAGGTGGGGTACAGGCGTCACCTCATGATCATCCACTGTACGCAGGCAGGCACCCCCGAGGGAATTGGGAGACACCTTCAGGAACCTGCAGAAGTCATGCTCCTTACAGGGGTCTGGGTGCACACCTAGGCGTATGCCCTGTGGGTGGCCAATCTTTGTGGCTGGGGGCATGTCAGGGTTAGTACTGAGATCCCACACCTTGGGCCGACGGACAGTGGTCTGCTTGTAGACGGGCTTGGGGGACGCCGCGGGTGAGGGCAGACTTTGCAGCTGAACCTCCACTGAAGGGTACGCATACAAAGTTTTGCTCAGCTGGGGTCCCAGAGTCTTGAAGATGAATGCTGACCAAGGCCGGATACCACCCGCTTGCTTGGGGCCAACAGAGGCCGGGGTCTGGGCCGGCAGCTTGCCTTGGAGCCATGTTCTGAAATGAGCATCTCTCAGATTTCGTTGTTTTTTCTGCAACAATGAAGGGCACAGAGCAGTGGCACTTCTGGGCAGAAGACCCTGTGGCTAGTGCCCTGGGGAACCTCAGGTCTAGTTGGTCAGATGCTGCCTTATGTGGGCCTTGTTCTGATGGAGGAGGCATCCCTTGTTCTGACGGAGGTCCCAGGCTGTGCAGAAGACAGACTTTCATGGGAAACCTCCAGCTTGAGGACAAACACATAATCCCTGTCTAGGGAGTTCAGGTTTCCTCCAGAGGTAGCCCCAGCCTCCATGACACAATCCTGCCCTCAGATGGCTCTGGTTTGACTCCAGAAAGAGAAAGGAGGAAGGGCTGGGAAGTCTGGCATTGGAGGAAAGTAATGAAGTTGGACAGGCTTCTGGGAAACTGACATGGAGGACGGAGTTGCTGGCTGCCAGACTTGGTGGTGGAGAGGGACTCAGCCATGGCTCTGTCTTTGCCGCCACTGGCACTGAACCGCCCACGTTTGTGGTAATGGCCCCGCCCCTATTCTCTCTATGTCTCACTCCCACAAGGTTGCTAAGTCATCAGGCGCTTTGGAGATTGACCCAGCTCCAGGGGCTGGCTCTGATTAGGCTAAGCCAGTCGTCCTAATTCCTTCAGCCTTGCCCAGTCCTAAGTCAGGCGGCATCTGGCTTGCTTTGTGTTCCAGCCATTGGAAGAGCAGTGGTCATATGAACCCATGAGGCCAACAAGAGGATCCTCAGTGGAGGTCTGCAGGGGGTTGCTGAATAAGGTTAGGGTCAACAGAAAACCCCATAGCTGTAAGGGCTTGGTGACATACACAAGGGTGGCTCCATGGAGAGAGGCCCAGCTGAGACAGCTGAAGAGTTCAACAGCAGCAGGGCCCTGAGCCATTGTAGGAGTCACTTAAGCATCCAAGCGCCTGAGCTGGGCTGTGGTGGTGCATGCTGCCAGCACTTGGGAGGCTGAAGTAGGTGGATCTCTGAGTTTGAGGACAGCCAGGGCTACACAGAGAAACCCTGTCTCAAAAACTCAAAAACAAACAGGATCCAAGCTCTGAGTTTCCCGTTGTTTTAGTGTTTTATGCTCTGTGTTTATATCTGCTTGAACACTTCCTCTGCCGCTTTCACCAACCCCAGTGCTTCACTGGTCTGGACCCTTGCCAAACCTCTAGTCCACCCAACTCATCCCCGATCCCAAAACTGGCTGTTTTCTGCCTCCATAATGCTCCCATGTGCCCCATGTATTCCACACAGTGATTCTGTCTGCGGGTCAGTCCTCCCTTACTCCATATGGATAGATGCCTGTCCATCTTCAAAGATACCTCCCTCCTCGCCATCTCTTCAGGCACCCTCCTGGCCCCAGCACCCAGGAGGAAAACATATCTCTTGCTAGCACCTAAGCTCCTTGAATGGGGACCACATCTTGCTTTGCCTTTGGGACCTGCAGAGCCTAACAGGGCCTAGCGTACAGTGAAGGTAGGACATCAGCTGAGGGGAGGGGTTTTAAGAGTGGCATTCCAGTGTTAGGAAGTGTCAAGGGTCAGTGCCTATCGAGGACTCTGAATGCCTGCTAATTCAGGCTGCGTTTGCTTTCTGTCACAGGACAAGACCTTTGGCCAAAAGGAGTGGCTTATAAGGGAGGACTTGGGGGGGTGGGCAGGGAGAAAGGGATTCCTTCTGAGAGGGAGTGTTCCAGCTGCTCCTTTCACCATGGCAAGAAGGTCTCTGCCTGAGTTCCCCAGCAGGGCTCAGCCCTGGGGAAACCCCCCCCTTACTTGAAATTCAATCAGGTATCGGCGCTCCAAAATGGCCAGCTTCCTCTTCAGGGTCTTTAGTTTCCCCATCTCTTGGGCAAAGTTCTTCTTATCCTGTTTCCACATGGCATCCTTCAAGAACCTGGCACCAAGGTGAGGCTGTGTCATATTACAGTAACTGGGCTTTTCTCAGTGGGTGGGGCACTGAGGGCCAAGGCGGATGGGTGAATTGCCAGAGCAGAGAAGAGCAAGGCACCCCAGTCCCACTGCCTAGGGGCCCTTTGTATCCTTACTGAAGAGCTGAGGAGGGAAAAAGTAAAGTAAGGCAGTGTCCAGTCTGAAGGGGTGAGGTCAGGCAAAACTCATGTGGACAATATCCTGCTTGGGGACTCCTTCCCAGACTTACCTAACTGCCACCTGGCTTCCTCAACCCTCCCCTTAGAAGCTCAGCCCAGAGAAGGGCCTTGCCAGAAGAAGCAGCCACTGGTCTAGTTGCCACCGACTCACCGGGCACAATCACGGTGGTTCCATAGCTTGCAGTAGTCGATGGGCTTGTAGCCCAAGGCATCTTGGGCATGCACATTAGCCCCACTCTTGACCAGAGTCTTCATGCATCCCAGCTGGCCATTTTGGGCAGCCAGGTGCAGGGGAGTGCAGCCATGGTCTGCCTGCCTGTGAGACAAGGGAAGAGGGCAGAGGGAGGGGTAAGGGCGTTAGCCTCAGGCGGGCAAGCAGGCTTCCAGGGCCCACCCTGCCACCATCACGGGGGCCCTGCCCATAGCCCTGCTCCTCTTCAGGCCTCATGTTTCTCTTCTCTAGGAGGGGTGGGCTATCTGAGCAGCACCAACCTAAGTAGAGGATATGTTTGAGTCCGATAGCTAGGAACTGTTCAGTGCCCTGAGCGGCTTCAGAGCCACCAATCTCATCGACCTATGTCTGATTTTGAGACAAGGGCTCGTGTAGTACAGGCTGATCTTGAATTTGCTCTGAAGATGATCTTGAACTTGTGATCTCCATGTGTCCATCTCCCGAGTGCTGAGTGTACAGAGAGACAGGTACTACCAAGCCTGGCCCCTCCTTGGCTCGGCAAGGTTAGCTCTTTAGCTCACTTGGTCCTCAGGGTGAAGTTATGTTCATGTGTCTTGTGCATATGTATGTAGTCATGTCCTCGTGTGTGTGTGTGTGTGTGTGTGTGTGTGCGCGCGCACATGCGTGTGCACGCGCTCGCGAGTGCGTGTGCATGCACACTTGCGTACAAGTGGATATAAATATATATGCAACCGTGTGGAGGTCAGAGGTTGGCAGTGTCGTCCTCCACCATCCTCCACCTCTTAGTAGAGGCAGGGTATTTCACTTGAGCCCAGAGCACCCCAAACCAGGTAGTCTACTAGCCATCTTCCTTGGGGATTTCCTATCTTTGCTTCCCGTGGGCTGGGATTTCAGGAGGGTCGCCATACCCAACTGGCATTTGCATGGATGCCGAGGATATGAACTCAGGTCCTCACACTTGCACGATGTGGGCTTTACCCACTGAGCTATCTCCCCAGTCCCTATAGCTTGCAATTAAATGTCACCTCCTGGGGCTGGGGATACACTTAATTTGATAGAGTGCTTGCCTACCATCCTTGAAGCCCTGGGTTCAATCCCTAGCACAGTGTTGTGTTGTGGTGAGGTGTGGTGTGGTGTGGTGTGGTGTGGTGTGGTGTGGTGATGCAGACCTGTGATCCTAGCACTTGGACCAATTGGCAGTCGGAGGTGTGAGAATCAGAAGTTCAAGATCCTCTTTGGCTATCATAGCCAGTTTGAGGGTAGCCTGGATTACATGAGACACTTCAAAAAATAATGAAGAAGGAAAAGCCATCCTCTTAGAGATCATTGATTCTTTTAAATATATCCTTCTCCAGTGCGTCCATCCCATAACCCCATTGTTCTCTTCATAACCAAGCTCACAGAATTCTGATCATTCATTCATTCATTCATTCATTCATTCATTCATTCATATATTTGCAACTAGCAAACTGTCTAGTCACTGGAGAGTCAGCTCTGTGAGGGCAGGGGTGGGTTCCCTGTGGTTGTTGCTGTGCTCCTAGCTTGTGTAGGGTGAAGGATTCTGGGTGAACAGGGCAGTCTCTAGCATGCCATGCTTTTTCCTTTTCACAAAAGTAGGGCTGCAAAGATGGCTCAGCAGTTAAGAGAATGTAGGGATCTCGCAGAGGACCTGAGATTTGGCTCCTAGCGCACAACTGCCCCAACTCCAACTTTTTTTTTATCACGTATTGGACAGGCACATTCATCTTCCCAACCTCAAATGGAAGACAGCCGAACCCTAAACTTAGCCTCAATCTAGAAACACCTGGAGACTGTCAACCTTCCAAAGCCCACAGTGTTATCCGTGAGGCCCCACTGTGGGCGCCTGAGTGTGGGAACCAACCGCTGAGGCTCAGAGGTTGAGGGACTTGCCCACGGACTCAGAGTTTGCCCGAGCTAAGATCCTGTGAATTGGGTCTGCCGTCTCTGTGTGCCCAGTCTCTTAAGAACCAGGACATTAAGTGGACTCCCGAACTGCTTTCTCCAGGCGGGAATCCTGGTCCCTCCCACAGCCCAGCATCGGGTCCTGCCAGGCTCCACCTGCCTAGGGATACAGAGTGCCAAGGGCCCCTCCCACAGCAGGCTGGACTCACAGGTTGATGTCTGCCCCTTTCCTGAGCAGGTAGTCAACGCAGGGGAGGATGTCCGACCTTTTGTTTTTCTGGATGACTAGGTGCAGGGCCGTCTGGCCGCTGTTGGTGGGCTGATCCACGGGAAACTTGTACTCATCTACCAAGACTTGGAGGCTGGGAAGCTTGTTTCGCTGGGCTGCAAAGTGGATGGCTGAGAAGCCCTGAGGCGTGGAGAGCACAGGAAAGGCACAGCAGGATGGGGGCGAAGCCCACAACCCTGCCTCCGTCTTGGGGTTACTCTCCTTGTTCCCGGTGTCTTTTACCCCCTACCTCCTGCTTCCAAGCGGGCCTTCTACGAGTGGATAAATAGGACCGCAGCATAGAAACGGTCACCTCGGAGCTCCCCAGCGGCAGTCCCGAGGTGGCCTCTCTACCTGGAGCGCGGGGTCGGGTTTGGGGAGATTTCAGTCTCGCCTCCGCGCTGCAAGCTTTACCTTGCTGTCGACTGCGATCTCCTTGCGCTCCCGCCCCCGATTCAGACAGAACCGAAGCCAGTCCACATTGCCCACCGAGGCTGCGAACATCTCCGACCCCTTTGAGACCACGTTGTAGTTCCAAGACTCCGGGCTGCTGTGGCGGAGCCGGGTGAGCACGGGGCTGGGCGCCTCCCCCGCTTCCACACCGCCCCCAGCCGGGCTCCCGCCCACCTGGGCGGCCGCGGCTCGCCGTCGGGAGCCTTCAGCCACTTGTGTTCCGCCTGCAGCTTGCAGCCCGGTGCAACGGGGCGGGGCAACCCTTTTTTGCCCAGGTCCCGTCCAGATCTGCGCTTCCCGGGGGTGAGGCTCACGGAGGACGCTCCGGCTTTGGCACTACGGGGGGAGGGCGCTCCGGCATTGGCACTACGGGGGTGCCACGAGGAGAACAACGTGCGACTCGCCCCCTCCTTCACCCCCGCCCCCTCCCCCGCTTCCCGGGCGGGGCCTCCACCGCCCTTGGCACCAGCCAGGACTTCGGGAGGAACGGAGTCTGCGACCGTGGAAACTGCACTCCGGGCTCCCTAGACACTTAGCCTCTACAGGAGTTACATAGCGATGAAATAGAAGGTGCAGTTGGGAAAAGGAGTGTCTCCAGCTCTGCCCAGAGAAGGCCGGGCCGTGGGCCACGTGCACACCCTCCGCTCTTCCATATATTAAATTATGACGTCCTCCTCAGAACAGCAGCATAATGGACAACTGCTGCGTCACTCGGGCGGGCTGCCCAAGGCAGAACAACTCGACCTCGCTTCTTTTCCTGGGAAACGGGAGGACGCAGAGAGAGAGTTCCAGAATAGCCTCAGCTACTCAGATACTGTCTCAAAAACAGAAACACAGACAAAAGGTGCCAGGAGTGATGATGGAAGCCTGTAATTCTGCATTACAGAGCTAGCATTACTAGGAGGCAAGGCCCAGCTGGGGAAGTGGGTCCGCGGTGTGTGCTTTTGGAGGATTTGTGCCCTGGGAAACCTAAAGGAAGAAGGGTGTCCTAAGATCTGCAGAGGTACAAAATAAAGATTTTATTTAGGGCCTGGAGGGATGGTTCAGGAGTTAAGAGCACTTGCTGATCTTTCAGAGGGGACTAAGGTTCGGTTGCCAGAACCCAACATGATTTTATTTAAATCTAAAAACTAATAATAAAATAAAATGTTCTCCAAGACAGCTTTTCTTGGAGCAGTATGAGCCCATAACTCTGAGTCAGGGCTGGAGACGCTGCACGGTGAGTAAAACGGTGTGTCCCAGCTAGGAGGTGAACCATTTCCAACAGATGTTTCTATCCCACGGTGTAAAAAAATGTCAGCCAGGGGAAGCTCATCCAGGAACTCCAGCTGAGCATCTCCACAGCTTCTGCCTGGTGTCTGAGGCTACTCCATGTTTGGAATGCCTGACTGGATGGATGTTTCTCTTTTTGTCTGTCTGCCATTTGCTAGTTCTTTTGCTTTTGTTTGCTGTATACTGAATAAACTTTCATGCTGGAAACGGAAAGTATGGCTATTAAGCCCCATTTTTCTGGATTATAAAGAGCACGAATTTGTACTCCTGCCAGGCACCTTTAAAACTAGCAAATCCCAGCTTCTGCTGTTGCAGGTGGGGTTGAGCAACTGACTTTACATTAGAATAAAATAAGGTCAAATGCTGAGGTTTCCTGGTGACTGGGGCCAGTCTGGGGCACCTGCTGCTTCTGGGGTGCCGCCTGCTGACACTATCATCAGGCACCTGGGATATTTTACAGGCCTCTTTTTACTTAATTTTTTATTTGGCTTTTTTTTTTTTAGTGGGGTCTTATATAGGCCATGCTTGCCTTGAACTTGCTTTGTAACCAGGGCTCCAGACCCCACTGCTTCTACCTCACATTTTATAGTCTTCATGCCTTGTCATAATCATCCTGAGGTGAGGAGACCATACAAGATACTTAGAGCAACAGGTTCAGAGTAATTGGTGTGGTGGGGTCCCAGTCATGGGTATTTGGCAAAATCCTTTCCGTGATTCTCCCACGCACCCAGGGTTAGGAACTACTTTCAGGTAGTGCCTTCATATTCTTGGAGGTGGAAAGAGGACTCCTGAGGACGGAGGGCCAGCAGAATTTGGCAAGAAGATAGGGAAGCTGGGCAGAAGCCTCAAAAGAGATGTGTGCTCTTACCGAGGACCCTTTAGCCAGATCCATGCATGCGGACAGAGGTCCTGGAAAAACAACAGACAGTTGACCAAGCGAAATATCAGAATTCTTCTTGGAGAGTAATGGTAATAGCTTGGCCCCAGAGTGATTGGCAAGGGAAACAGAAGGCTGGGTGAGGAAGCAGTTCTTGGAAAGGGCACAGGTACTGTCCCCGGAATTCAAGGCTTGCTGTCTCCCACCATCCTATAATCTCAAGGTCCATCTGAAACCTAAGCTAGTTTGGAATGGATTTCTGTCACTTTCAGGAAAGCCTAATTAGTAGAAAGCTCTAAAGCTAAATCCTCCATGGGGTACAATGATTAGGATTGGTGTGATGTTCCTTGGAATGAGCTGTGTGGGCTAGGCCTCTGTGACACCCAAGGGACATCGAGAGCCATCTTTGCACGGTTGGGGACCAGCAAGTAAATTAGAGTAAGGAATCGCCCTTGGACTGAAGGCTGTCTTGTCTGAGTAGGGACATATCCGCATGGGGCTAGGCCTGGGCATTAGCCCTCATTTTCACCCTGTGCTTTTATAGGGATATTATAGGGATGATATCAGAGCAGAAGCAGGGACTGAGTTGGCTCCCAGCAGTCAGTGTGCTCTCTTGGGGCCTGGGATCTGGCTGTGCTGGCACTGGGTAGGAAATAGGGCTTCCAGGTGAGCATCCTGGGTGCCAGGAGAGCTAATCTTGTCTTGGAGAGGGCGTCTGCATTTGGGAGAGAAGCGGAATTTGAACGGCCAAGTCCTAGCAGGTAGGGCAGGGAACATCCACCCATGGCATCACACTGGAGGAAGACAGCTGTTTGGGGTGCTGGAAGCCCAGGGCTGAACACTGCAGAAAGCACATGTCCCACAAAGCTCTGCGGCCTCCTCCCAGGTGCCCCCCCCCAGCACTCCATTACCACATCTGAGCAGTTCCTTCACAGGAGCCTCAGCGCAGCGCCCAAGGCGCGGGAGGAGAGGCCTGATGAGCAGAGATCTAGTCCCCTCTGCTGGTGTTTACTGATAGGCCAGTCCCTTGTGGCTGGCCGATCCAGGAGCTAGCTTATCAACCATCCTCTAAGTACCGCAACGGCCCACAGTGATGGCAGGAGGCTAAGATGAGCAAGCGTGAGATGCTGCAGGGCCTGGGGAGATGGCTCAGTAAAGTGCTTACCACCCTAACGTGAGGATCTGAGTTCAGGTCACCAGAACCCATATGAAAAGTCGGGCATGGCGACACGCCCGCAACTGAGCACCAAGAAGGTGGAGACAGGAGGATGCCTGTGTGTATGCCTCATACCCCACCACACACACTTATACACACCACACACACACACGTATACACACACTGATCTACATACACACACTGGTACACACACTCCTACACATACATACATTCAAACACACACACACACACACACACACACACACGACTGATTCCGACGTGTTCTAGGTGCCCAATGTGCAGAGTAAGCATAGATCAAATCTCTGTTCTCGCCCTCACTTCTGAAGTGGAGGTGCAGGAGCTGAAGACACCATCCTCAGAAACAGCCATAACACATGAAAATTATAGTGGATGAGCCAGGCACGGCAGTGCATGCTTGGAGTCCCTCCATTTCACCATTCCAGGGGCAGAGCAGAATGACAGCCTGACCTATCCAGTGAGTTCCAAAGCTACACAGTGAAAATCCCGCAAAACTAAAAGTTAAAAACAAACAAAAAAGAAAACAGAAAGCACTGCGCTAAGCCGTAGAGAAATGAGGACACAGTCACAAAAATTGAAATGTTAGTAAAACAGAAGGGCTCTGAGCCATGTCCCATTCCGAGCCTCACCCCTATGTCAGCGCAACTGCAGAAGCTCCAAAATGGGTGTGTGCCGCTGGGAAAATGGGGCGTCCTCTCCTCAGCTCTGAAGATATAGGACATTTTCCGCGGAAGAGCAAGATGCCATTTTCCCTCTCCCTCCTTGTTGCTAGCTCCAAGCCACAGACTGGGAAGCTAGGTGGAAAGATGAGAGCTCAGGAGTAGGCCTCTATTCCTCTTAAAGGTGGAGACCCTTGAGTTCTGGTTTCAAAACAAAACAGAATGAAAGGTATTGCCGAGAGCAGTGGCCCACTCGCCCCCCAGCAAGGACTTAGGGTTATACCCATTCAACCTGTGCGAACTGAAGGTTCTAAGGATTCCTATCAAAGGAAATGGTTGTGTTTTTCTAAGTATGGAGAAGTTCACGTCCTGGAGGCTTGTGTGGCAAGCAATAAAAAAAGCCAGGTCAACTGGCTTACCAGAGGAGCCCCGGGAGAGCCGGCACAGCAGAGCTCTCTCAGGTTAGAACACACATCAAGCAGGTCTCTGACAAAAATGATCTCTGCACTTACTCCCCAGAGGCACCCTGGGAAATAGAACAAGAGGCTAAGAATAGTGAGGGTGAAAAGCTGGATGTGAAGTCAGCAGAGGAAGAGAGTTAGACAGAGACCAGTCAGTCAACAAGGGTCCTACATAAACCATGGCACTCTCAGAGTGGCTGCGTCTGCAGGGCTGTGTCCAGAAGTAGGTACATCTGAACGTTTCAAGAAAGGGTAAGGGCATCACTAAAATCACCCGTCCCAGACACCAAAACATTAGCAACAAAACAAAGTCCCAAAGAGGGGTGGGTGGGCCGGAGGTGCTAGCATCCGTTACTGAAAAAAGTTTTCAGGAGAAAAAGTGTGAGGGGAACAAATAAATGGAAAACCCTAACCCCAAAGCAGGAAATGAAAAAAATATCTGAGCAACACACAACTATTTGAGAAGGGTCTCAGATGCCAGACCAAGAAAAGCTTCAAAGTAGTATTTACACAAGCGTTCACAGAGCCAAGAGAAACTACAGTGTGAAGGGTGGAACAGGATCTTATTGAACACAGCACATTAATGCAGAGTTGTTATTTAAAGAGAATAAAGTGAACGTTCTGGAATCGGGAATCACACTGAAAAGTAGAGCAAGGGCACAGTGGCTGATGTGTAAATATATAGGAAAGAATTAGCAAACTATGGAGCTGGAGAGATGGCTGAGCAGTCAAAGGCGCTGGTGCTCCTGATGAGGACCCAGGTTTGGCTCTCAGAACCCAATGGTGACTCACAACCACTTGTAAAGACAGTTCCGGGTGATCTGGAGAGGATGGCATGAAGGAAGAACAGGCAGCCTGGACATCTGGGGTTTAGAATACTCATCTTCTTCCCTTCCCTTCCCTTCCCTTCCCTTCCCTTCCCTTCTCCTCTCCCCTCCCCATCTCTCCCCTCCTCTCCTCTCCCCTTGTCTCCCCTCCCCATCTCTCCCCTCCTCTCCCCTCCCCACCTCTCCCCTCCCCACTTCTCCCCACCTCTCCCCTCCCCACCTCTCCCCTCCCCTCC